TCATATAGAATTGTGAACCTGTACTTGTGGAGGAGGAAGAGCAGGAACCAAGTGTAATTTGTATGGTAAGCAATTTCTCACATGAGCTTAATTGTAAGTTTTCTCCTGAATTTTCACTGCTTGAGTCCAACTGTAAAGGCCACTATAAATAGTAAAATATAACATAGTTACAAGGTGATTCTTATTAGTAACTAATCTGATATGATACATTATGACTCATTATCATTATTTCATCATTAAAAGACATCACAGAGAAATATGTGTAGCAGGTGCAGCCCCCCACTCTGACATCCCTCCATTATTACATGTCCTGTTTGTGCATGTGTGTGTGTTTCGGGTCTATGTGTGTGAGAATGTCTCTCAATAATAACAGAGTATCAACCCGAGTTTCCTCTCAGGGATTAATAAAGTATATAATGAAGTATATAAAACCTGGTTGATACCCTGTTAACTTAAACATCGCATTTTGACTTTCCAGGACTGTTGCCCAATATGTGGAGAGCAGTACACTGCTGAGGTGATACCCCACCATGCAAGTTCATGTGGTGAAAGGTATTGTCACCATGTCACTAGAATATATCAACAATAATTGACACTTAAACCAGCAGAAGTCGCTGAAAATTAAAATTATTTTTTTTGTTGCTTAACACATAACAAGGGTCCTTCTGAAATCTTGGCCCAGAGAATGTCATCAAGGAATGATATAAACCCCTTTCTTTACTTTTCTGTGTAATTCCATAATTAGGGATACCACTGGACAAAGCACTTTGGTACAGGAACTTTCCAAAAGCAGTGTCACTGACAGTGGCATTGCTGGCCCATCTGGTTCTGGCTACTCGACACATGTAGCATCACAAACCCTACCGTCAGGGTCAGCAACTGCAATACATGATGGTATGTTTTGACTAGTCCTGACAGTTTTAATTCTTTGAAACAACAGTATGTGAATGAAAACTCTCTGGAATGCTATACTGTTGTAGAAATGCAATTCAGAAATGAATGTTTTTCAGCCTGGAAGAGAGTTGAAGTTCCAGAGAGGGCAGCAATGCTATACAGAAGGTATATGCAACAGCAAAAAGAAGATGAGCCAACACTCAAAGTGAAATTGGACATGAGAGAGGACATTGAGGACCAGGAAGCAAGACTAAGAAGCTTTTATAAGGTCCATAAAGTTGATTGGGCCCGACCACTCCATTGCAAATTGGAAAGTGAATTAATTTAACCACTGTGTTATTTGCGAATTACCTCTTTGGTTTTCCAAGTGCCATGTAATAAAGAAGTTACTCAGATTTAACTTGCTGTGGCCAGATTCTCAACTGTTTCTATCACAGAGTTTCTCCTGAACCTTAAGTCTTTAAATAGATTTTATGGTCATAAATTAATGAGTCTTAATTTTATTATAATATTTTTTTGGGAGGCCTTTTTTGCATTTATAAGATATGCCAGCTGAAGAGAGACATGAAATGTTGTGAGGAGTGGAGGACGACAAGCAGCAAAGGGCTGAGGTCAGATTCAAAGCCATGGACCCTGTGATGAGGACCACGGCCTCCCTATAGTACATGGGGGAGTGGTACATAACCGCCAGACTGGATGTAGGACACCTAGTTGCATGACAAATATAGCATTGTATGTCAAAGTGAGAACAGCAGAGCTGCTTTTCCCAAGTTTCCTTAATGCTTCATGGGTTGCAAGCTTTACTTTAAGGTTGTCCTTAAGTTTTTGCCCGATGGAAAAAATGATGATTTTCTGTCAAATCCTTAAAGGCTTAAAAAGTTTTTCAACAACCCTGCACTATGTTGGCTAAACCCACTGTTGATCTATTTTTAAAGTAGTTTGAGATTCTGTATGCATTTTAATTTGTTGTTACTTTTGTTCTATGTTTTAGGCGATGTAGCCATTGGAGAGGGCGTGAAATGCCATTTCTTCAGCCTTGTGATGCACAAGTTGCAGAATGGATTCGTTATGGATTTTGGCAAGTCTTTTGCACACGTATCAAGTTTGTCTAGTTATCTAGCTAGCTATGATGCCCTTTATCACAACATGTCTCAGAGGAATAGAGAGAATTAACTTTACTAGAAGGTAGCAAAGAAGGGTCCCCATACTGAATGGGTGAGCATACAATATGTGCCAGGTGGCACAGGATCAACAAAAAGTTATAAAATGTGTAAATCTCTCTAATCCCCATAATTAAAAAAGATTCATAAGTGTTGTCCCATGCTTTTGTTATCTCTCCATGCAGGAAATAGAACTGGCACTATGCTTTTTGAGGGTCAAGCTGACCATCTCATTCCTTCCACCTCCCAAGTGCTTTGCAGAGTGACTTGTTCAAGGTGGCAGGAAGAATTATAGGCCACTCCTTCCTCCACGGTGGTCCAGCACTAACTGGTGTCAGCCAAGCTATCCTGCATGTGTTGCTAGGTGGTTCCCCTGAGACAGTGATAATTATGCTGGAAGATGTGGCAGATATTGACATCAGGGAGACAATACAGCTGGTAGGTTTGCAATATAATGGAATGTTTTCATGCTGCATGAGAACATGAAAAAGCATGTCACCCAATTTATATGCCAACTTTATCCATTAAGCTTACGGTAGCTGATCACTCCAAGAAGACGGCTGATGATGAAAAGAAAAAAGAGCTGACAGAGGAACAAATGCAAACTGTTAACCAGTTGGCATTATCCTGGGATCTGCCGACACTAACAGCAACTAACCATGCCTGGCTCTTACAAAGTCTTCTTCAGCATGCGGTAAACTCAAATGAAAAATATTATTATTATATTATTGATATATCTCAAATATTTTCTTTATGGACTATACAATATGTTACAACAACATTATGCATTTCAAGCCATCCTAGGTGCAAATGCACTTGTGGATTTTGTAATTCCCTTTATATATCTTTGTATATTTGAAATTCAAAATGTTTGATTCCAAGTAACCCCCCAAAAATAAAAATAAATAGACATGCATATCCACAAGCTGCTGACCAATAAAATAATTAAATCAAGAAAAATACAGGTCAGTATACTTCAGCACTCCTTCTCTGCTGTTTATTTGGACAACTACTGGAGTAATGTATCAAGCTACATGCTCTTCATCAGTGTATTCCAAATAACACCAATCCTTACTCCTTGCAATAATTAAACAACTGTCTTAAATGTAGGTGCTCGGAAGAACGTCGAGGCAAATTAAACAACTGCGCGAGGGACTGAAGGATTCCCAGCTATGGGCGTTGTTGGAGGCGAGGCCTCCATGTTGTACCAGTAATCTTTCCACGCCAATCAATGGCTGAATGCAGTGCTCAGGTATTCCATGTTATTAACAATCTTTTTTAGTTTTGTACTCTTTTCAATTCATTCACATTCAACCCATCTTTTGTTGTAATTGGATCTTATTAAATGTTGCACTTAGATGGTTCTCAACAACATCATCTGGCCTGGAGAAGGGGAAGAGGAAGATGAAGATATGTGCCCTGTTGCCGTTAGGTGCAAAATTGCTGGCTACTTACGGCAGTTTGTGGAGACAGGTATAATAGAATAGAATAAATCTTTGTTGTCCACCTGGGTTGTAAATTTGCAGTTGGCTTTCCTGATATAAATGGCCACATAAAATAATAAAATGGAAACATTCAAACTGTTAACAAGACAGACAAGCAAAGCTACATGTACACATTAAAACTGCTCATGTGATGGTTCAGATCTCATCAGTCATTTTGTGAGTTAAGAATGTTTATTGCACTTGGGATAAATTATTTCTCTAATATATTTGTAGTTACCAGAAGTCTCCATAGCGCCCCCCTGAGCTTAAAGGCTCAAACTGGCAGAAGAGACAATGAATTATCTGCTAGGATATTTCCTGCTTTCTTCCCTGTCCTGTCAGTAAATAGTTGTTGACGAGAGTTTTCTGTGGTTTATCCAATATTTTAGGAACAAGCCCTGTGTTGATAATGAGATCAATGAGCTTTTTCAGAAGAACATGGGTCTTTATTGAATTAAAGGCCAAAAGCAATTTCATATCACCAATGCAGAAAGTATACTGTTTTTGTTCACTAATGAAACATTTGGTTATCACATGACTAGATGACATTTTGAGTTCAACATGATTTACTCTCAATTAAGCCCATGTTTTTTTCTTCTGGCATCACTTGTCTTGCTTACATTTTGTTATTCCCGTATTCCCAATATCTGCACTCAAAGGCCACACAATGTCTGTTGCTACAAGACATACATAAAGAAGGAAATGTACTCTGCAGATGTACTATTACTATTTACTATTCCAAACTGTCTCAACAACAAAACTGTATCGATGTAACATTTCCATTATTTGCTTCCCTCTCAGTGCCTGAAGAAAAAAGAAAGGCGCTAGTTAAATTCTGGGTTGGCTGGGAGCTGCCCATGGATGAAATGAAAGTGGAGGTTGTGCATGCAGAAAATCCATCATCTTCGACTTGTTTCCAGATCCTGCGCCTGCCTGGTCACTATACCAGTTATGAACAGTTTCATGATCATCTTGAATGTTGCATTGCAACTAATGATTGTGGGTTTGGGCTTATATAAAGACTGAAACATCATGCTGTTGTTTGGCCACACAACAGAACTTAGCCCATTCATGTTAAGAAAATGTGTCTAAACTAATACTCGTTCCCAGTATTTTCTTGCATAGAGGCTTAATTATTTGTCAATAGCCATATCTGTTTCTTTTCGTTCCTGAAACGTTTTTTAAAAGGAGTTTAAGGGGTTGATCTTTATTTTATTTTCAGCATGCAATTCTTCAGTCTGGAGTGACATGTTTGTTTTTTGTCATTGGATGTTTTAAAGGCTCCCTCCAGACATGTATTAAAGAAATTCTTATAATGGAAAGACGAGATGTCTCTTATTCAACGGAAAGTACATTCTAATTTGCTTTGGCGGTTTGTTTCCAATGTCAAACTGAAATGAATATTGGACCAGGCCTGGCCCCAAAATAATTTATATCAAAAATAGTGCTTGTAGGCCCAAACCTGAAGACACCTTTTAATACACTCAGGCAAACGTAACACTTTCAGTAGATACATATGGAAAAGTACAATACACAATAATTGTCACAATAAATACAGCAATGGGTGAAATAAGCGTATTCAAAGAATGATGTTCAATTGAATATGAGGATTTAACATAATTCATTTTCCATTCTCACTTTTATAGTTCATAGCACATCAAGGTAATGAAAACATATTTTCAGTCATCTTGTTTAATTCTTAAAACCTTCATTGTGCCTGCTATAATGTAACCTTGCAACAAAACAATGCAGCACTGTGACTATTATACAAACTCTCAGGGAAGGGAAGGAGGGGGGGGTGTTGTCCATGCCGTGTAACCAGTGTCCAAACCCAAAGGGTAAGGGCTTACTTTACATATAGCCAATGCTGTTCATGTACTGAAGTGCAGCTACATAAACATCAGCACCAAGACTTGTTGATCTCATTGGATCCACAACAGCTTTTAGTCCTGCAAATTCCACTGGGTTTAGTGGGCACTCAGTTTCAGGAACCTGGATACCGGAGTTGGGGTCACTTTGGACAAGACCACTGCTTTCCCAGTCTATATGAGGAATGTCTAGATCCTGTAAAATAAAATTAATCACAACAAAAAAAGGACTGAATTAGAGGTCATAAGTCAAACTACTGTGAGCATCAAAGACACAACTGCCAGTTGTGTAAAAAATGGGACAATTAATCAGAAACTAGAAGGAAGTGCCTGCTCCGTACATGCAATACATGCAGTAGAAGCAAAAATTTACCAAAGCTTTGAAATGCCTCATGCAACCTTTCAGATGACAATACATTTTTTTAGATAATGGATTGCATGGGCTGCAGTGTCCTTTTAAATGCGTTTGATGCAGGAAAGAAGAGTAGGTGGAGAGAAAGAGAGAGAGAGAGAGTAGGAGAAGAGAGGAGGGGGAGATTGCTTATATAGAGAGATGCCAACCTGGTCACACTCCTGGGAATGATACTCCTGCCCCAAGTGCCACAGCTGATTGGGGGAGAGGTTCCCCTCTGTTGAAAGGGGATGGTCATCCCAGCCATCTGTGAATATGTTGAGGTGGAGCTGAATGAGTGGAATGAAGGCATAGTGGCAGCAAAAGATGTGCAGGCTATTGGACAAATCAAGATGGGCCTCCTCTTCAAGCTGGTGTAGGACATCATAGAAGCGGCCGGTGACTGCAGTGAACACGTCCCGCCACAACCTCTCAATTCTGTTTCAAACAAATGTGATGTGTAAGTTAATTAAGCATAAATTACACAGAACTATCAACAATCTTATTTTAAAAACAGCTCATGAAAGGAAAAATATATTTGGTATCAAACAAAAGAAACATATAAACACAAATATAAATAGTATATACCTATGCATACACAACTTGTGCAACATAAATGCATGTATGAAGCTTTACTTGAAAACATACAAACACACAGGGGCAAATAATTCTCTTCGTCAATCTTTGTTGGATTAAGTTTGGACAGTGTACCTTCAATCAATCAATCAATCAAACAAACCTTGCTATCAGACAAGGCACAAATCCATAGCAACATAATTCATGCATACAATATAGTACCGATAACGCTGAACTCGCTGTACCAGTAGTATATTTTTGTCAAAGCAGAAATGGCTTTGTTTGACTACAATAAAAGGGGAACTCTCAGTGTAGCTGTGTAGAGTCAGCACTGCCCAGATTTATACTTTTCTATGTTCATGTGAGCAGAGGGGCTAGTTCTTGTTTGAGGTGAGAGCAACATGTTGTCTTGGTGACATGAATACATTTGTCTTAATCACATATATCAGTAACAATTTAGAGTTATAGATGAAAAACTTGTTTAAAGAAACTCCTTAGCAGATTACAAAGAAAATATTGGTCTATTTAATTATTGGCGTTGAGACAAGTGAACAACAGGTCACCAATCACACATTTGAAATTTGATGTGCCTTTTTATATGCATATTTATCATCACCTCTGATTGTGAACGCTTTTGCCTGCAATGAAGCTACTCCTGCCTGTTCCCTGGACAGAGAACATAAAACGAGCCACATCAACATTCTCCACTCCATGATCACCCCGGAGCCTGAGAAACCACAAACAAAGCAGTCAATGAACGGTACACAGTGCTTCTACGATACCTATTTTGTTATAAATACAAATTATGCTATATCTCATTTGAACAGATCAAGACCCTATGTTGAATATTTAAGTGATGTTACAAATGACAGAGAGAAAGCACAAAAAAATTGCTTTATTTTTTTTACCTCAGTGGCAAACCAAAATTCTGCACTGCTTCACTGAAGAAGGCCAGGGTTGTTGATGCCAGATTGTTGTTTGTGACACGTAGATACATGATCTAGATGTAAGAACACAAATCAGAGAAGGTAGTGTATTTGTATGATCTCAAGATTTTATTGTTAATCCTGCCTCATTCTACATATTACCAATTGTATGCACAGGGTCCCACATTTTTAACTTACTCAAAATGCTTAGTTTTCTTAAATGTTGTTGTTGGTGTCTAATAATCATATAATAATGTTGTTATAGGACTATCATGTAGGCATAAGATCATTCCATATATCACTACAATAATATGGCAAGTGACAGTTGAAAATGTTCACATCCTAATCATTTTTCAATTATTTTACACTCTAGGGTAGCAACATTGTATTCAAGCAATTTTTTTTGCTTGTTTTAAATACTTAAAGGTGCAATATGTAACTCCATAGCATTTAAATTGGGTACTGCATTTCAAATTAAAAACATCAGATCAGAACAAAAACAGAGCATTCAGGACCAGAATCTAAAGTTAGAAGGAGGACATACTGGCTGCTGCATTGTTGTCAGAGAAGCCAGCACTTCAACATAGCATGTTTCCTTAATGTCTGATCAGATAGTAAGATCACTTTATCATTTCATTCAGGAGATTTATTAGACATTGCCCCTTTCACTAACATAGTAGAATGATAATTTCTTACAGTATCTTATGCTCCATACCTTTCTTGAAAAGCCATCTATCCCTCCAAATATCACAATGTTGTACCTTGGTTGATAAAAATTATAAAAATTAGTTTTTACTTTTACACACAAACACTATGTGCATTGTGTACTGTTTTTCTTCGTTTTACTTACCGTATCAATTTGTGATTTGTATCGATGTGCATCAATGACTTGGGGCTTGGGACAGAGTATGTTCTTCTTACCACACAACGTAGCTGTGACATCCTGAAGACTATGCTGGCAGTGTCTATTCGGTGCATCAAGGACCGTACCCTCTCCCACTGCACTCTGTGTCCCTGCGCTCTAAGTAGACCCATCATTATTCTATACCCTGCATTTGGGTTGCTGGTATGGATCACTGACACTAAGGAGTCCAGTTCTGCATCAGTCAAGCTGCTGTACATTTCCCTGACACTGGCTGCTGGCCTTTGTTTGATTTCAACTTAAACTTCAGTTCAACCCAACCTGCAAACGGTATGGGTGTCTGGTTTGCAGCTTTACCAACAAGAGTCTCATCTTCATCAAGAAGCTCATCCATGCCTCTTAACCTGGTGTGTGGAAGACAGGACTTTCTCCAGTTTTCATTGATGATGGTTACCTGTGATCCTGTGTCCCACAGAGCTCGTGTTGCTACGCCATCAAAGAAACAATCCACAATGCACTTTTTCCCGATGAGAGCCTTGAACTTGGCTTGGCAATGTAAGGAGAGATGGCTGGCATAAGTAGCACCTACAGTCTGTTGAGCCTCCCCACTTTTCTCCAGCTCCGCCTCCAGCTGCCTGATGCGATCACACAGAAGGTTGTGCACTCTGTCTTCTGGTTCAGCTTGGCTAGGAGTCAGTGGTTCTTGTGATTTGACAGTCTGTATTGTCACGTTCATGCCGTCAGATTTCCCTACCAGTCTCCTTTGTCCTCTCCAGCCTCTAGAAAAGTGCCCTGACTGTCCACACTTGAAACAGTGTTCACACTGGTCACCTATTTCTTGCTCCCTACACACTTTACATCCTCTCTTAAAACTTGTTTTATTTTAGCGGGTGGGCCCTTGAGGGTTAGCTATGCTTTTTCTAATTTCAGCAATCTCTTCTCTAAGCAACTCAACTGTTTTATAAAGTTCAGAATCCCTCGAGCTAGTGACAACAGGTGCTTTGCGACTTTAAGGCTTCATCACTTCAGCTGACTGCTCTTGAACCCCTATGCTGGATTTGGCTACACCCTGACCCTGCTGACTGTTTTGCATTTCTGTATGTAGCTCATTTACTTTTGGACCTTTGCTGCTTGTGTTCTTCCTTTGCTTAGACTGTCTTTCTGACTCAACACTAGCTGCTTCATTCATTTTGTCAATAAGTACATCATCTGTCACTCCCTGGTCATCAAGAAACGGCTTAAACTGAAACTATGGTCACTTAACAGTCCAATACTGACAGATCTTAAGAACTTCTGTATGAGCTCAGGGCTATACTGTTCCCCTGATTCCACTTCTCTTGAAGCAAGTAACAGTCTCTCTTTTCACTCGATGGCTCTAAAGAGAAAGTTTTAAGGTGACTCACGACTGTCCTCTTTAAAATGTCCTTTTAATATAGATTTTAACTGGGAAAGGGTGAGGTCACTTTTAATCTCTAACATGTCTCGAATACTCAAACCTGGGCTGATCGACTTGATCACTGCCTCCATCACTTCAGCCTCGCTGTGTCCCTTACTCAGGCCTCTGTCAATTTGATGCATCAGGTTTGTGAATGAGAGTCTGTCTTTGTGTCCTTTTTCCCCAATCTGGCCACAAATCTTGAATTCTCTTCTTATTGTCACTTCAGGGAGTCTGTTCACAGTTGCAGGTTGCACACTCAGTGGGTCTGAAGATGGACTTTGAGATGTACTGTTCACTTTTTCACTCAGCTTTCTCACTTCATCCTGCAGAGCAAGACTGTTTTTCTGTAGCAGTGAATACTTTTCTTCTAAACTCACTTCTTTCATGGTTTCCTGAATGTCTCTGAGCTTATCCATCTGTAGCAGCCATAGTCTCTGTGACACTGTCTCTGCTAACTCCTCAAGCTCCTGCATGTCCGCTGCGGCTGCGACCTGTCGTCATCACTCAAAAATCTCCGTGTGCGTTCTTGTCACACCGTACACAACGCTAATCATCCCAGCGGTGCCTCCAATATTTGTTGCACACTTGTACACAAAGAACCAAGCGTGCATGGGTTTTATGATTATTCTTTTACTTCGGTCTGAAACACAGAGACACAAACGCATCAACTCAGCATGGCTGCACACTCTCGGACATCTGGGCAGCTGAGCAACGCATGGCATCAAAGATCTGCTAATCAAAGATGATGCTTATGACTCTCTCACACACTTTCACTCTCACAAATATTCTGCGCACACACACACACAGTAAATATTAAAGAAGGCTAACTGTGGATTTCCTACTGTCACTTTTATCACTTTTGCTCACCTGAAACACAGAGACACAAACACATCAACTCAGCGTGGCTGCACACTCTCGGATATCTGGGTCGACTGAGCTACGCATGGCATCAAAGACCCCTGTGCTGCCCAGTACAGTACTTCGTAGAGCACCCTTTTGCTGTTATGACCTGCTGCAAACGTGATGTGTAGCCAGACACCAGCCTTTGGCAGCGTTCCTGAGGAATCTTAGCCCATTCCTCATGGGTGATTTGCTCCAGTTCTCTAAAATTCTTGGGTCTGCGTGCTGCAACTGCCTTCTTCAAGTCCCACCAGAGATTTTCAATGGGGTTTGTTAGGTGGGGTTTGTTTCTAATGTATAAATCAAATGAAGAAATCGTGAAACAGACTGGAGATTATAACACCATTTAATCGGCTGAGGTCAGACAACTTCATCAAACAAGCACGCTTCCAAATCACTTGACTGACAAAGTGCTGACAAAGTAACAGTGTTCACAGTGCTGCTTATATTCTGTCAAAAAGGTGCAACCCACAAATTCCTTTCTATTTGGGGGCATCACCATAAAACAATAAAGATGACATGACACTGATTTCTATACGTATCAGATGTAGACTCTCTGTCTAGCAAACAGTTGCTGACAACATATAGTTGGCTCCTCTCCATATATAGATCTGCTACTACTCATATAAGGTTAACGCTTCACAGACCCAAAAGTAGAATTACTGTGAGATGGTTGACACAATTTAAAGATATGTCCACAAAATTATCAAGATGAATGAATCCATGAAAATACGTACTAACAGGGTTCAAGTCATAAAAAATATAAAATAAACCTAATTTAAAATAAACCTAATTTGCAATGGGGGTTGAATAATTTTGATTGCAACTGTAAATGGAAGTCAGTCTTTCGTGATACTCTCTGCACAACAACAGTTTATTACATGACATACATCTCCCTCTTCATGTCATGTGTGAGCAACAGACATCACTGGCCAGGTGACACCTGAAGTTCTACTCCGCCATTTTTGCGGGTTAGTATCTTGGACTGCAAGGTGAAAACCCTGTTACTACCAATAACCCATTTTATACAGACCCACATACACAACTGTATGCCTCACACAAATCTCAGTGTCTTTAAATGTGTTAGCGGTCTACTTTCTGGTACTAAACTTAATATATCAAGTGCATTTACATCCTATGCTACATGAATTTACATTTTAACACTAACCTTAAGTGCTTCCATGAATGTATTTACTTTTTTTTCTGTCACTACCATGAACATGTGACTATAAATTTGTCTTTCACTTCCTCTCGTAAAAATTACTGATTTCTATGTGTAACTGATGGTTGACCTAATGTGTTGTATGTCAGTGTTTTAGGTGGGTTTCTTTGTCGCAAAGGATATTTTCTTGTAGAAGCTGGCTGCGTCTCAGGGTCTCTCTCGTCTGCTTCATCAGATTTGACCAGTCTATGGATTTGACCCACAAATGTACCAACTAAAATATCATGGTGCCTTTGTACAGGAATATCTAACAGATTGATTGAACAAGATAATAAAATAAAATATATCATAAGTTCACTATGTCGTCCAACAACTCTACTATCTTTCTCAAAGTCCGTTCAGTTGAATTAAACGACTCTGGAATTTATTACTGTGGATTTAACAAAGATGGACGTCCATTTCTTTCTACGATACATCTAAAGATCAAAGGTACGAATATTTTAGTTTTTTTCTTCTCTCTGTTCCCATTCTCACATTGTTATCTTTGTCCGCTTATGTTAAAAAAAGAAAAGAAAAGAATCTTAAAACATCTTCTATCACCAAATTGTCTTTTATATTTTGATGTAAATCAGTTAAGATGAAATCCTTCTCTAATAGGCAGCAGTGACGTTCATAACAGCATGAACAACAACTCTACAAGTAATATTCTCCAAAAGTTTTCTTTATTCAACAGACTTCTGACATTTTAAATCCTTCATGTTAAAAAGCTAGCTGAATTTGGAGTCTCCAAAGGAAAACAGAGTCTGAAGCAATGATCTGTCTGTGTAGAAGAGTCTAATGGAACAGCAACTAAAGACCTAAGCTTCTTTAAATATGTTTAATAGGAAGCAACGAGGACGATGAAGACATGGAGACGTTTAGTTTGATCCTGTCAGGTTTTAAAGTCTCAAAAAGGAAAATGTATTCTGACACAATGATCTTTCTTGTTGAAGAGTGTGATGGAGCAGCGACTCTGGTGAGCATGATCCTGGGTGCTTTGACTCTTTTGCTTGTCATGGTGGTCATCGGTCTGGGTGCTAAAATTAGGAAACTTCAGACAGGTATGTTATAATGTACCTATTATTGCAATAATGGTCTTTAAGTTTAACAAAGACAAAGTTCAATGAACCCTAACCTCTAACCAAGATGTTTTATTTTGTCACTCAGCTGCTGAAGAAAGACAGAATCCAGGACACACTGAGGTAAATACAACTCAATTTACTTTAACACAGTTTGTGATTGAAGAATAATGACATGATATTCATTGGTGTTAATTTAATGTGTTCCTGAAATATTTGTGTATTTATAGACTTACATACTTCTTGTCCATATGCATTAAAGGAACAGTATGTAAATTCTGCCACCAGGGGTCTCTCATGTAAAAACAATAATAAAAGGTGATGTTTAGGCTGGCGGGGAATCATGGGAGTGATTCTCTCTGTTACTTGCCCCGAAGACTCAGAGTTGACCATACTAAAGACAAGCGGACGAAACCAGCCTGAGAAAGAGAATATGTTTATCGATGAGTTAATGTATCCAAGTATAATATAAATTACGTTTTTATCACAGCAGCACATACAGAAACAGTACAACAACTTTTAGTAGCAGCTCCTGCTTCCTTTAGCAGCAGTCTTTGACATAACATCCGGTGTTTCCAAGGCAACAATAAACTTGTCGTCCCGACAAAATACGACCTGTTACAACTATTAAACTAAGGATTTCTCTGGCTTTGATAACTGTTGGAAGTATTTTAAGAGAGTTGAACTATTTTTAAATCAAAGGTCTTATAAATGACCAACAACCATCTGCCAGAATATGTTGGTCTCTTCTGGGAATAAAAGTCATTTCAAGTGAACACATTATGACTGTAAATATTCTCTTTACAGAATGTGACCTCTGATGAACTGAACTACGCAGCAGTGACATTTCGATCTAAAGCCAAAAGAAGAGAGCCGGAGCCAAATGTCTTGTATGCTGCCACCAGATAGAGTGAGGAGGCAGCTGGACATGATCTTGTATCATACATTATTACAATGCTTTGAGCTTTTGCATGGCTTGTCTGGCTCAAAGTCTTCTTAGCCAAAAAAAAGATGTTTAGGATTCATGCTGTAGGGGCCTTTAAAGATGTATTTGACAGTCAGTTTCTCTTATAACCTTATATAGAGTTTGATACCTGTGTGTTGCAGTTAATGTGTGAGGGATGCACACTTCACTTGTTTGACAGGAAATAACAGCAGAGTTTGGTGTCAGCCAAACTATGAGTTAAACCACAGGCTTTTAAAAATAAATCTGAATGAAGGTATTACAGCTTCCCAAGAAAGAATTCTGAGCCTCTCTAGATTCATACAATGTGGAAAACATACATTAACTGTGATAGTATATTAACATGTGAAATGAAATGCTGTGTGTATGAGGCAATAGGAGATAGGACCCAAAAGCAGACTCCAAGGTAGGACAGGTCAAACAAAGAGGACTAGTCTTAATCAATGTAAATCAACTAACAGCCCACAGTCAGGAATTACATTAGAAGTCAGACCAACCAAGGAAATAAAGAGAGGCAAGATCCTCAAAGAAAGGCAAGTTCAAAATATAGACTGTATATAACGTAGATGTGGTCTCAGTGACATCACCCATTGGTTTCTGAAGAGGTGTTTGAAGCCCAAAGATGGTGGCCACCATATTGGAAAAGCTGTCTCAACCATACTCTCGATCAATCTTTAAAACAAGCAAAAAGCTGGAGTTGAGTCGAGCATTTAGCTTCCTGACGAAAAGATAAAACGCATCCACCTGTCAATCAACTAAGCGCCATTAATTGTGTGAATGTATGAATAACTCTCAGCCTTAGTTTAATCAAAACAGTTGATGAGTTGTAAAAAATGTCGCCCCTGTACAGCGTGGGCCAAGAAACAAGTGTGCTATCAATATTACTTCTTTTTTTTACCAGGCTGTAAAATGTGATATTCTGCTGTTTTCATGCTATTTTTAAATATGCAGCATTAGTGTTCAGAAAAGGGAACATTGTCTTCAGCACTTCTGGCTGCAGAAGTGCATTAGTGAGAAACACGTGTTTGACAGGAAGAGAGCACAGTGTCGTCTGGGGTGGCAAAAGCCATGAGGCCTGTAAACCCCAATTACTGTGAAAATAAAGTGTGAAGTGAAGCAGCATGTACTGTATTTCACTGTCTTTTGTTTAGGGGGGTGCGATCAGCTTTTCTACACTCATAGTAAAGCCATCAAAACACATTAGGTATAAAAAATAAAGTATATGGACTACATATCTTAATTGTTGTCACAGTACATGTTGAGGATGATTAAAGTAAATCAGCAGAGAATGTAATACTTTTAGTTCAGGATTTGAAATCTATCTGCTTTTTTCTGTCCAGAGTGGGAGTGACAGCCAACCTTACTTGACCTGGGAACTTGGGAAGCGTGAATGGAATTGGAGTTGAAAGGTGACATTTAGAGTTCATATAGCTGCATTTGCATGAAGTATTCGTATTGTAGGGATTAATAAAAGCAATGAAGTTCCAAAGGGATCTATGATTGAAGTCTGTCTCCTTTGCTCTCCACGCACATGGTTCTCCTGTATACAGACAAAGCCTCCTGATTCTGAAAAAGTTGACAATGCTACCAGGCCTGCCAACGTAAACATAGTGATTCTGGGCATTAGTCACAAAAGGATTGTGCAGCTTAACCCTGTGCAAATGACACAAAGGGACATGGTATGATTTAGAAAATAGACAAAGGGTTAAATGTTCTACAAACTGCATCTTTGAGCTCCAGTGCTGTTTTCATGTATTTTAATGAGCCATTATTCATTGGTGACCATTTCTCCACAAAATGAATCTAATTGCAAAAAAGCATCAGATTCACAAACATTAACAGCCAAGTCAATCAATCAATTCTGTCATCTCGAGACACAGGTAAAAGACCTTAGTCTTTGTTATTAAATATTACAAAAGAGCAGGTAAAAAGACCATCCTCATCATGTTACAAAAGGCAGGTAAAAGACCTTACTTATTGCTATATTACAAAGACCTAGCTTAATCCATTGTGAGCACTTTAGCAACATTTTAGCAAAAATTACAGTGGCAAGAAAAAACTGCCTAAGAGGCAGATATCTTGAGCAAATCCAGGCTCATGACAAAACAGCCATCTACCGAAACTGCTCCGGGCTTGAAAATGGGATAGGGGGGAGATGGGATAAGATGCAGGAAGAGGGATAGGGAACAAGGAGGGGGGTTGGTTGTTCAGGCAGGCTACTACCAACAATCCAGAGGAACCTAAGAGATGTCAGGAGCTCCCCAGTGCAGTTAGAGATAAATATTACTGTCATCTGAGAGGTGTGGCATTAACTGCACCGTAGTATTTAAAAAGGCTCTCAACTTTGATGGTGATCATGAAAACAATTCCACCTCTGAATGAGGTTTTAAAAATTAAACGTCAGTAATTGTATAATACTTTGACGCAACATAATAACACGTAAAAAGCCTCATGTTCCCCAAAGAAAACAAAGAGTTAATGAATTGAAAATATCTTTTTAAACTGGGTTAGAAGACATGAGAGCGATGAGAATCTAATCACACCTTGCGCACACTTGCACAGACTCAAATCACTTCTCTCTTGCCTGTTGCAAGGTGACGCATGCACAGCCTCATATCAAAGCAGTCACTCTGCTGAAGGCTGAATGTTCAGAAGAGGTGACAGACAGCAGCAAAACCACAGCAGGTGAAGTTCACATTCATTTCCACTGTCATGTAAAACTCAATGTACTAAGCATTGCACACATAAATCTGGCAGGTGCAATTTCAACTGCTATGATTGATACATCACTGTACAGCTATTTGGATTATTTATTCTGATTGGTCAATTAAAGCCCTCCACTGAGATTTATAGAAGACTGCTGCATACTGATCTGATGCTACAGACACAGTTTTGGTTGCAGATTACTTCTGTAATGTAGATGAATACAAAGCAAAACAGTCGTCAGGCGTTATTCAGAAGATTCCAGGATTGTATTTCAGTTCAGTATGTTCTGCCTCTGCAAGTCCTGCAAAAAAAAACAAAAAAAACAGCATTTTTGTAGATACTGGGGGTTAGTAAGCTTGAGGTAGTTGGATCATCTTGTGTTCCTTTCTGTCTCTTACTGTCTGTGTGGAGAGCGGTGAAGCTGGGGAAATTAACTGGAGGACTGACACATGAAGCAAAAAATAAATTAAAAAAACTGAATGAAATATGTGATCTATCTTTGTCAAAGTCAGTCTGAGAAACTGGATTGACAAAAGGACGCTCCGCCTCTTCACACTGAGCCCACCTTCACTGGGGCACCGTTGAGTAATAAACATTTCAGTCGTGCATTCATACTGTACGTACAATGATGAGCCTTACCTTGATTGCAGCTTTACTCTTCAGTAAGTACTGAGTAGTAGTCTGTTTCTTTTTTTTGTTTCTTTTTTTAGTACAAACATTTTAAGCTTCCTTACAGTTAACTACAAATCATTTTTCATGTTGTCCCCGTTCAGGTCTGCTGTCTGTCTCAGTGTCTGAGTTTCACACCGTGGATGCTCAACCTGGTGAAGAAGTCACACTGCTGTGCTCCAATTTCACCCTTTTCCCCTTGCACATAACCTGGTTCAGACTGAACAGCACATCCAACACCAGCAGAATCTCCTCTCTGTCCAGCACCGATGAGAAAGCGTCTTTCTTTGGTGAATTTCAAAACAGCAGCTTTGACGTGACATCCAACAGCACTCATCTGTTTCTCAAGATGAAACAGGTGGATTTTAGTCACTCTGGACTTTATTTATGTGGATTTAGCTCAGAAGGAAATTCAGTTATTGTAAGTGCAACGTACTTCAAAGTTCAAGGTAAGATGGTATTTCTTTGTTGCCTTTTTGAATCGATGGAAACAGATTTTTATACAAAATAATGTCTTATAATTTCTCTCGCAGAAGCATTCATTGGTAGAGACAGCTATCTGAATATGATCCTGGGTGCTCTGGTTGTTTTCCTCTCTGCTGTCATCTTTACTCTGGTTGTACTCATCAGAAAACCTCAAACAGGTTGTGCTATCATTTGGACCGCAAATGCAAAACTTTCTGTGTGCCACAAAGTGTTAACAGTAATATGAAGCAGCAGTTTATTGACAGGATGTTCTGCTTCTGTCATTTAGCGCGTAAAGAGGACCAGGATCCACAGCAAAGTGAGGTATTACATTTTTTGGCTTAGATTAAAGGTGCACTATTTAGATTTTGTAGTGAAATTTGAACGTTTGAAAAGTTAAACAATTTTTATATTTTCTGAACTAAAGACACAAACTTTATACCCAGGAAAAAATTGGTCCATGGAACACTGTTTGGAGCTAAAAAGCTACCAGGATAGTAATGTTTTCAATGTTGCGGGCCCACCACCATAACTTCCCGCTTAGCATTTTATCTTCAAACAGTGTTACAGGGACCAAATGTTACTCTGAGGTGAGTTTGTGTATAGAGTTATGAACATATACCACCTGTACATTTCTCCAACTTTCACATTTCTCTACCAAAACTCCACAGTGCGCCTGTAAGTTTGACTGAAGTCTATTCCTTTACGTTTTCTGCTTCATTTATCTTTTCGTGTCGTGTTTGATTTACAGAATGTGGCTTCTGAGGATGTGAATTACGCAGCGCTGAGTTTTCATCCACAAGCAAAAAGCAGAAGAAGGCCTGCAGCTGAAAACGAGCTGGAGACACATGTTCTTTATTCAACAACCAGATAGACTTTCCAAATCTGTTTGGTTTCAAACTGTAAGGATAGAGTTTCTCTCCAGATACCATTGTCGACTCTCTCTTTTCTTTTGAAGTTTGAATCTTTGGTCAAAGATTACAACAGCCAGTAAAGACATGGATGTCCTTTGTACTATTTTCTTTTTTGCATAACAGCACTGTGCTTTAGATTTGCTGAAAATGAAACTTGATTAAAAGACAGCAGGAATTTGCCTGGGGGACACACAGGCAGGGAAGAGTTGGTGTTCTATCTGCATACAAGACCCTATCCTCTGCATCTGGGATGCTAACCTTTTATGTGTGAAGTGGATGGACCCCAGAGAAGTGTCCATGTGCACCATTGTAAAGTTGGGAGGCATGGAGTACAAAGACCAAAAAGTGGGGAAAGGGGAGCTAAAACATTTACCAATAGCACATTGTATGACATTATTAGAGTAACAAAAAAATGTTTTAAAAAAAATCCAGGCAGCCTGTACAAGGTTTAGTTGTTAAAGTTAAGAAGGGGGGGGGGGGCTTTTCAAATAAAGTATGTAAATTGTTGAAGTTTGAATCATGTTAAAACATACAAATACAACTGGTATGTGGTTGTTGTGTTTTAAAGAAAACGTCTTTGGCTTTTTTGTGTCTGTCAGAGGTCTCAACCACCAAAAGACTGGCCTGCAGTTGCATGCTTATGCACCAGTGTCTGACTTGCAAGCAACAGCAATTAAAATAGGAAATGAATTTCATCTTATCAAACCATCCAAACCACCAAGCTCTGAGCTGTACATGTTCACCACATAAAGACCACTGCAAAAGTCAGTTCCCATGCATCTACAGTACCACTATCACATGCACCCAGTTTCTCAGTACAGCTGTGAGTGTACTAATAAAAAGCTTCACACCACAACAACCAGCTTTTGAAAGCATCCTTCGGCTTATTTTAAAACTGAACCTTTTTTTTACTTTTGTTAAAGACTTTCTGATGTCTGATCCAAAAGTTGAAGGTCTCTTTAAGCTAGGTCTGATCCTAGCTACTGATATTCCTGATCATTTATTATTGCAAATTTAAGTCAACCAGTCTTGAAAATCTGTCAAAATCAAGCACTTTATATGTATCATGGCTAAACACGGTTTGAATGTGTCTGCACATAAAAGATGTCAAAGTGTTGTGCTGGGTGTTGCTGATGTTAGCAGTGCCAGTACCTCCAGCCTTCTGTCCTTCCTGTACTGGTTATCTGCCATTTTAACTTATATAACAATTACTGACTTAATCTTAATCTGTGAATAGAAATATCCCATTTGGGACAATGAACTATCTATCTACATAAAACTTTATCTCCATTTACGTTAACAAACCCCTGCGGATACGCTCCATAACATGAGATGCTGTCCGGCCACTGTGCTTGTTTACATCCAGTTAGCAGAGCTTTGGCAGTAGCCATTAACCAGAGCTGAATTTTATGTTGACTGAGATGCTGTTATGTACAATACATTTAACAACCTCAAATCACATAGTTAGAAGGCCATTGACAATTTGGCATTTATGGTTTGGTCATTTGTATAACCTCAACAAAACGTGTGTATGATCACACAACCTGATTTCTGCTTCATTTGAAGATCCTTGCAGTATATATCGTCTTTTTGCATCTTGTTTAAAACATATGAAGGACCTAAGCTAGTGAAGAAACTTTAAATGGTGTAACGTGAAGTTTAAGAATAAGACTCATTGGATTCAAACTAGCCCCAGCATGTCATTTCCTGAAAACAACTTCAGTAAATAAGCTGCAGTATATTCTGAACATAAAAGAAACCCTGCCTCTTCAAACCTCCTTGCAGGAGGTCTGTTATATAAAGAGAGACCTGAGTCACTACATTCTGCAGTGGATTCAAAGATGGAAAATTCAACATGACATCAAACATTTCCACTGTCTTCCTCAACATCAAACAAGTGGATTTGTCCGACTCTGGACTTTATTTTTGTGGATATTATGTGAGCAGATATCCACTGATTGTTGATGCAACATTTTTAGAGGTTCAAGGTAAGTTCCCTTCAAAGTTTGGTCTGTCTTTTTATTGATGCAGTCCCTGAAAAAAAAGGATTTTGATGGCATCAGCTGAACTTTAGTCCTTGGTCCATTTAAATATAAATCAGATCTCAAGCAACTCAAAGTCAAATGTACAGTGTCTAATTATTATTATTTTTTTGTAGAAGTGAATTATGAAATGACAAAGCTGGTGATCGTGGTCCTGGTCGGTTTGGTGGTTGTCATGGTGATGATCATCATTTGTCTGTCTGTTAAAATCAAATGGCTTCACAAAGGTAATCGTATTTAGTTGATTTAACCTATATGACAGACAAAACCATATAATCCTATTCTACAAACTGCATCAAAAACAGTGCTGTGCCATGTTGTACATCGAAGTTGACCACACATTGTTTCCCTCATGTAGCTCATATTGAAGAACAGGGCCCACAACAGGACGAGGTAATGTTTAATGTGTCACTAGCTTTACCGAAACTTGTGCTTCATTTACCTAAAGTTGTTTGAAAGTTAACAATTTAGTATTCTTATGTGAGAAGAGTGACTGAAAAAAACTTCTATTCACAGAATCTCAGGGCAGACGGCCTGAACTATTCCGCTGTGACTTTCCGTCCAAAAACCGAGCAAAACTTTAGGCCTGACCCCAACAGAGAAGACAACAAGAGTTGTATTTATTCAGGCACCAGATAGACTCAGGAAGCACCTGCAACTGCAGCTAAAATAGAACAAATAGGAACTGATGCTTTATAATTAATGTGATGGTGTGTTTCAAAGTGGTTGCTAGAAGTACAAAACAAATTCAAATAATGTCGAGAGCAAACCTGAGCAAACCACTAGGCCAAAGAGCTTGTGTACGAGCCTAAGCCTTCTGTTTATTTAAATACAGGACTTATTAAATATGAATAATTTTACTATTTAATTGATTTGAGACTGATTTTGGTGATATTTGGTTAATAATGATGTTAATTTATATTCATAATTAATTAAGGATAATTATTAATATAAATTTATATAACCAAAGTCGACTAGAAAAGAACTGACATAATTGTTGCCTGCGTATTAGCTCTGCAAAACCCCAACAGTGGCAATTCTAAAATATGGTGGGGCCCTAGGCAAAAATCAATTGGGGGGCTCTCCAACCATTTTGTCTGCCAGTGTCCCGACGCTTACGTCTTTTTTCCCGTTTATTTTTTCTCTCCTACAGACGGATCATTCCTCTTCAAATTTCTGTGTTTACTTTCATTGACAAACTTTGGTTTTCACTGTCAGTAATGAAAATTTTGAGCCACTGCTTGGGTTTAAGTTTGTGAGCCACTCCGGGGGCACCTACTGGTCTGGGGCCCCCAGATTTTTGTGAATATTATAGGGGCAGAGATCCAGTGAATGTTGATGCAACATTTTTAGAGGTTCAAGGTAAGATCCCTTCAAAGTTTGGTCCGTCTTTTTATTGATGATGGAATCAACTGAACCTGATAAAAGGTAAAGAACTTTGAGATATAGGCTTAAAATGTACAGAGTCTAATTAAATGATCTTTTTTTGTAGAAGTGAATTATGAAATGACAAAGCTGGTGAACGTGGTCCTGGTTGGTCTGGTGAAACTTCAGACATGATGTAGGCTGTATATTGTTTTAAATTTATTTTCACAATACTACTTTGACCTGTTTTGACTGATCTTTACAGCCACAGTTCATAATTCGTTAGTCACAATAGATAAACATGATTTTTATTCCCCTGTATGATGGTTGACTTTTTAGTTGGATAAAAAATGCATTTCATCAATAAGGTTCTAAGAAAACACTTAGCTTGTGAGGGTGTAAAACTGTTAGTGAGGAGGACTTTCTCAGTTTGAAGAGAAAATGGAGAAATGTTCTTCAAACAAATATATTATTTAAATTAAATGATCAATCTACGCACACTTTTAATGTAAATACTGAACACTCTACCTCATGTAAATTAACCCATCTGTCACATTTTATTATCATGTTACTTCAGCATCTTTTGCACTACTCACCACTGCACTGTTTCTTATTTAGTCTTGTACATATTAGTGCTTATTCATGTTTATTGTTGTACATAAGAGAGCACAGTTCACTGAAGTTAAATTCCTTGTGTGTGTGTGAGTGTGTTCAATGTGTTTATGTTTTTAGTTTGGAAATAATATTACGAGGAAAGAGCCTTACTAATGTGCTATAATGGCCAGATAACACTTCAGTGTCGCCAGCAGGAGGCAGTGTTGTGCTGGGCTTCTCCCATGTATGGACTCTCTTTGTTCCTGGACTCTCGTTGTTCTGCTTCCTCAATGTAGGGAGGAAGCTGAACTGAAAAGATGCACAGTTGTCTGTATCGTACTTTTCTTCTGTTTATACAGGTTTGTATGATTCAAACACATGTATAAATGTATATAAATAATGGTTAACACAAAGGAAACACGCTACATTGGTAAATGTAGTTGAACTTAATGTGTTTGTGAACAAGTAGAGACAGTAGCGGAGCGAGTGTGGGGGCAGTGATGGGGCCCACTGTTGTCTCAAGGGGCCCACTTTGAGCCAAATTTAACATGCATTTTGTTATTTAGTGGAATTTTCGAGTAAAGTTAGTTTGACTAGCTCTGAGTCTCTCTTTTCTTTTGCCGCAATCAAGACACACAATGTATTTTGTAGAGCAGAGAGGGGCCACCCTCCACTGCCAAGGGGGTTCTCAACTTCGGCAGCAAACAGCACCAGCAGGGTGCTGTGGCCTGTTTGTAATGTCATTGATTCCACCTCTTAGCACCCCCTTTGCTGGGCCCCTGCTGCTGTCTGGAGTTTTAAAAACCTAGTTGTCTGCCTGCTTTATTTCTGTTTACCTCGCAGTTTTTCGTAACATTAAAAGTGTAAAAAACTAAATAAAAAATGTTTTCTCATTGACAACTCAACAACTCAACCTGGCAAGTCTCCTCCCGTTGCTAGCTCCACTAACGTAAACGAAACTAGCCAAGCAAATAAACATGTTAGCGAGGAGCACCCAGCTAGCTCCGTGCAGGAAAGCAACGGTGTTGATGAAAACTTAATTGGTAAATTGTTTCATCATGATTTGAGATTACGCTTAGATGCTGGTCTTTTGTTTGTGGGTGCATGTGTTGTAGACCGCCGTGTCTGCTTGGTTATCGTACTGAACGGCAGGCCATTGCTGTCACACTGTTTACAAAGTTTGTTGTAGTGCGTGGGTTGACAATGTGTGGTTTTATTGTATTGTCTGTTTGGCTGTGTGGCTGGATGAGCATCCAACTTCACTGAATGTCAAACTGTAGTTGCCTTCTATCTTTGGTTTCCCGTCCGGCTAATTAAGTCTGCTTTACTTGTTTAATCGGTGGAATATGCGCACAGACATATCAGCACTTGTTCTGCTTAAACATCAGCAGGTCACTCACTGATAAGTCCCTGTCACTGTAATAGCACCCTTTGTAATCTGCAGTGGCATTTCTCTTCGTCCCGCCCCGTCTTGTATCTCCATACAGCCGATACTATACTGTAAATGCTATACTATATTACTATATAGGCTACAGCATATGCTATATAGCCTATAGAAAGTTTAAGGGCCCACTATTGGTCCCCGCCCCCTCTGCAATGACCCATAGGCTCTGCGCCTGAGTAGAGACGATGCTAACGTTACCGTGTGCGGTCCAAGATGGCGCCGGCGATCATCACGTCTTTTTTGTTGATTTAAATTAGCTCCTGCACATCTCATTTGGAAACAGATATTATATTAAGAATGTGAAGAAGTGTTCTGAAGGTTATGGATGGTGTTGTTATTGTCATATGTGTATGTTTTCAATGTTATAAGGAGTTGCAGTTGTCAGTCTTCAGTACTAGGAGCAATGTGCTAGTCTCTCTTTATTTACGCCTGTGAGTAATGTTACATTAAGGGAACTTTTAATAGCCCGGGAAATTATCCAGGTGAGGTCAACATTCTCCTTTGTTGGTCGACAGTTTGTATTGTGTTTATTTGTGATGTTGTGAATTCTGTATTAATGATGCAATATTAGAATACAAAGCACAAAGTGTCAGAAAATGAAGCATTTATTTTGAATCCTGATGAATAAAACTCTACGGAGAGAAGCTGAACTGAAAAGAAGCACAGTGGCCTGTCTCATTCTTTTCTTCTGTTTATACAGCAATCTTATCTGCATATGGGATCTCAGTTTGAGACCTGTAACATAAGCATACCTGGCCAATAAAGCTAATTCTGATTCTGAAAACTGCTTTGCATTGCTAAGTGTTGGTCTTAACCTAATCTCAGGTTGTCAGCCACAAATAGATGTGTTTTGATTAACGTTGATACTAATGACAATGATGATGACTTTTTAATCTGACTGAGTTACAGCATTTTATCCTAAATTAAGAAATGTGTCTTAAACTTTAGGGGCCTATTTTTTTGTAAATTCAGTCAGCTCCGCCAAAACAAACAAAATGACCCCTCACTCAATCACTTCCGGGTCACTTTCTGCATTTGGTACGTTCCCTTTAGGTCAAGAATCTGTACTTTGCAAAAGTGTTCTGCCACTTGTAAATTTGTAAAAGTGTTTTGGTTTTGTAATTTTGTTTTATAAAATGCAAAAAACGTTTTTCAAAATGTAAATTTGTCTCAGATTTTGTAAAAGTGTTTCTCACTTTGTAATTTTGCTTTGCACTTACCAGCCACCATATTAATAATAATATAATGCAGCCTCGTATTTCAGCAAAGATACTGTGGTAACCTTTACTCCTAAGAAGGACCAGTCGACAACTTTATGTCTAGATATTCACTCTTTATATTGAATGGAAAGAGTTTGTTACAGAATATGAACGAGACGGCAACGTGCTGCAATCAAGGGTAAAAACGAGTGACATTCAAGTACACACCAGAAAATAGGAAAACCCATACTCAAACAAAAACTAATAACCGAGTTATTTATCATTCTCACGTTACAACAAATACCATAATAATAACGGCTATCAAAAAAACAAAAACGATGTAAAGACAAGAAACTTTCACTGGATTCTAGCTCCTCATGTCCCTGGCTGTGGTCCTGAGAATCTTCAGCAGAGTTTACTATATAGTTTTTGAGATAAGTAAAAGTAAGTTCCCCTCAAACTGCATTGAGTCGTTTTAAATGTGTAGTAAGGATTATTTTATTTTGAATAATCTGTGACAGGTGACAAGAAACTTTCAATGAATTCTTGTTCATCATGGCCCTGGCTGTGGTCCTGAGAATCTTCAGTAGAGTATACTGTATAGTTTTTTAAATAATTAAACGTAAGTTCTGCTCAAACTGCATTAGGACGCTTTGATATTTTAGTCATATTTGATCATTTATTTTGAAAAATATGTGACAGGTGACAAGAAACTTTCAATGGATTCTTTTTCAGCAGATTTTACAGTATAGTCTTTGAGATAATTCAAGGTAAAGTCTGCTTAAATTGCATTAAGACGCTTTGATATTTTAGTCATATATGGTCTTTTATTTTGAAATATCTGTGACAGGTGACAAGAAACTTTCTAGCTCCTCATGTCCCTGGCTGTGGTCCTGAGAATCTTCAGCAGACTTTACTGTATAGTTTGTCAGATAATTCTAGGTAAAGTCTGTTCAAATTGCATTGAGTGGCTTTAAATGTGTAGTAATGATTATTTGGGAACACTTTATATTAAGGTGCTTGTAATAAGCTGTAACTAATAGGTAATAAGTCACTTATAAGATGTTATAAGACCTTATAAGATTCTTATTAACACAAATAAGACTATATAAGTGTTAATAAAGGCATAATTAAAACCTTTATTATGTCTTATAAGACACTTATGGGCTCTTATTAGAAACGTATTAACAGTTTATAAACCACCATAAACATTAATAAGATGTTTATTAACATTTATAAGACTTTATAAGGAAATATAAATCCTTGTACAGATTAATAAATACTTTATTATGCACTTATTAAGAGCTAATAAAGCTCCTCTGCAGGTTGTATTGAATTGAATTGAATTGTATTGAACTTCCACTCAAACAGTTTTTGAAAAAAAAAATGCTACTACAAATACAAGTATTATCTTTAACGTTAACTGTAAACAACATTATGAAAACATTTGGTGTGTCATAGCTACCAACATATCTGATCAAATTCAGGTAAAAAGCATAGTTGTTTTTAACCCATGTTACTGTAAAAAAAAGTGTTGAAGGTGGACAAACATCAGAAGACTAGGACACCTTGAGCCCAAGGTCTGAATACCAGTCAAGAGGCGCACACAGGAATACATTTTCAAACTTTGTATGTAAGGAACACAAATATTGTGTTCCTTACATACCATTCCTTACAGGCGTCGTGTTCCCAAAGAATATGAAGACTTGAAGAAGTGACAATATTTTTAAAGTCAAATTTAAAGACATGAGAGGTGAGAATCTAGTCAGTGATGAACAAACATCAAACTGTATCACAGCTCCTCCTATCAGAGGTCACACTTCAGACTCAACGCTCACATTAACATCACTTCTGTCTTTTTAAAAGACATTTTGTAAAGTGACTCTTGTACAGTCTCATATCAAAACATTTACTCTGCTAAAGGATGCATCATTTTTTAGAGGTAACAAATGACAGAAAAAAGCACAGCAGGGGACTTTCCCATCTATTTCCACTGTCATATACATTTCAACCAACTCCTTCATCCCTCACCTAACACAAACTGACCAACTGAATCTCATAAGATGTGTCTGTTTCTGTCTTCATGTGTATGAAAATGATGGCTGCACAGCTGTTGATGGGATGAAGTAGCTGATTACACTGTGAAGACTGGGGTTGATGAGGAAGATGGGCGATGCTGTGATCTGAGGCTGATGGGATGAAGTGTCTGACCAAACTGTGAAGACTTGGTGGTGATGTGGAGGTGGAAAAACACACCTCACAATGGCATGAATGATCTGGTGGAAGAGAGAAAGCCACATTTTTAAAAAGACAGCAGCAATATGACAGGCTAACCATGAGGTAGTGGAGCAGTGCTATTGGATAGATGTGAACAGCCGATGAAAATGATTGCGCATAAATGAAAGAGCTATGTGGTACACAATACATGATGTAGGAACATTACGTCAAAACTGTTCATATTACTGTAGACTCCTCCTCCTCTTATCTTACCTAAACCTAACAGAGTATGTTAGATTGTGAGAGTCGCTGCAACATGGAACTAAAACAGAGGTTTTTCCTCTATTGAAAAAAATGAACACATTTCAACTTCTCAATATTAAAGACATACTTCTGACAATGTTTTCCTGATGAGTACATTTCATTTAAAGTTAAACACCTTTCTCTATCTGTGCACAGAGTGTTATATGTTTGAACTTTGGTGAGGGAATCATTTGAAATAGCATTTTTTTTAAATGTTAAAGGGCGGAGCTCTGAACAACTCAATATCTGTGTCTTGACTTACTTTACTTGCAGCATGTTTGACATCACATACAGGAACAGGATAAGTGACATCAAACACCCCTCCTCTTTGCCCTATGGTTCTCTTTTCTGCTGCTCTCTTCAAAATTACAGACACTTCAAAGCCACAGTCATACGCACAACGATGAACCAAGCGCTGATAAAAGCTTTCCTTCTCTGCAGCCTCAGTAAGCGTTTCATCATTTGTGACTTCATTGATATGTTTAATATTGTTTGATTCATCTGCATTAAATGCATCTTATCCACTTATCTCATATTTGTTAACTCATGTGAAGAGAAGTGTTTTACCTTCAGGTTCTGACTCTTAATATCTCGGTCACTCATCTGTTTGTTCCAGGTTGGATCTCTGTCTCAGGTTCTGAGTCTCAGACTGTGGAGGTCCAGTCTGGTGAAGATGTCACACTGATGTGCTCCGGCATGGACAAACATGTTTCAGTCAGATATTGGCTTAAACTAGTCAAAGGAACCGACATCCAATGTGTCTCTACTATGACCAGTCATAACAGTGAAGTGACATATCATGATGGATTCAGTAATCATACATTCACTATGTCGTCCAACACCTCTACTATCTTTCTCAAAGTCCGTTCAGTGGAATTAAACGACTCTGGAATTTATTACTTTGGATTTAACAAAGATGGACGTCCATTTTTTACTACGATACATCTAAAGATCAAAGGTAAGATTATTTTAAAGTATTCTTCTTCTCTCTGTTCCCATTATCACATTATTATCTTTATCCGCTTATGTTAAAAAAAGAAAAGAAAAGAATCTTAAAACATCTTCTATCAGCAAATTGTCTTTTATATTTTGATGTAAATCAGTTAAGATTAAATCCTTCTCTAATAGGCAGCAGTGACGCTCATAACAGCATGAACAACAACTCTACAAGTAATATTCTCCAAAAGTTTTCTTTATTCAACAGACTTCTGACATTTTAAATCCTTCATGTTAAAAAGCTAGCTGAATTTGAAGTCTCCAAAGGAAAACAGAGTCTGAAGCAATGATCTGTCTCTGTAGAAGAGTCTAATGGAACAGCAACTAAAGACCTAAGCTTCTTTAAATATGTTTAATAGGAAGCAACGAGGACGATGAAGACATGGAGACGTTTAGTTTGATCCTGTCAGGTTTTAAAGTCTCCAAAAGGAAAATGTATTCTGACACAATGATCTTTCTTGTTGAAGAGTGTGATGGAGCAGCGACTCTGGTGAGCATGATCCTGGGTGCTTTGACTCTTTTGCTTGTCATGGTGGTCATCGGTCTGGGTGCTAAAATTAGGAAACTTCAGACAGGTATGTTATAATGTACTTATTATTGCATTTATGGTCTTTAAGTTTACCAAAGACAACGTTCAATGAACCCTAACCTCTAACCAAGATGTTTTATTTTGTCACTCAGCTGCTGAAGAAAGACAGAATCCAGGACACACTGAGGTAAATACAACTCAATTTACTTTAACACAGTTTGTGATTGAAGAATAATGACATGATATTCATTGGTGTTAATTTAATGTGTTCCTGAAATATTTGTGTATTGATAGACTTACATAATTCTTGTCCATATGCTTTAGAGGAACAGTATGTAAATTCTGCCACCAGGGGGCTCTCATGTAAAAACAATAATAAAAGATGATGTTGAGGCTGGCAGGGAATCATGGGAGTGATTCTCTCTGTTACTTGCCCCGCAGACTCAGAGTTGACCATACTAAAGACAAGCGGACGAAACCAGCCTGAGAAAGAGAATATGTTTATTGAGGAGTTAAAGTATCCAAGTATAATATACATTGCATTTTTATCACAGCAGCACATGCAGCAACAGTACAGCAGCTTTTAGTAGCAGCTCCCGATTTCCTTTTGCAGCGGGCTTTGGTGTACCATCCAATGTTTCCAAGGCAACAATAAACTTGTCGTCCCAACAAGACACGTCCTGTTACAACTATTAAACTAAGGATTTCTCTGGCTTTGATAACTGTTGGTCATATTTTAAGAACGTTGTCTCTTCTGGGAATAAAAGTCATTTCAAGTGAACACATTATGACTGTAACTATTCTCTTTACAGAATGTGACCTCTGATGAACTGAACTACGCAGCAGTGACATTTCGATCTAAAGCCAAAAGAAGAGAGCCGGAGCCAAATGTCTTGTATGCTGCTACCAGATAGAGTGAGGAGGCGGCTGGACATGATCTTGTATCATACATTATTACAATGCTTTGAGCTTTTGCATGGCTTGATGGTGAGAGTTAGTTGAATTATCATCTGAATATTGCTTTTACTTACTATTTACTTTTGCTGAATCAACACTGTCTGTGGCTCCCTGCATCTCTTTTGTGATGTGTTTTTGAAATTCCTACATGTCATCATGTGATGCTTTAGGTAGATGTTTTTTTTAAATGACTCGTTTTTATGTGCTGTACTGAAGTTGGTTTTGACATCGTTCATCACTTATATTGTGTTTGTATGCTCTCAGTGCAAGGCAAATTCCCCTAGGGGCAATAAAGGTTTCATTCATCCATTAAAAGATCGAGTTATGTGATGAGTTGCCATCTTTATATGTCCCCTTGTATCCCAAAATCTTCATCAGCAATGGTCTGTCCCTGTGACTTTTTAATGATTGTGATGAGTTCAGAAATAGGAACATTGTCTGCAGCACTTCTGTCTGCAGAAGTAGATGAGAGAATGAGGATCACATCACTTGTTAGACAGGAAAAGAGCACAGTGTGGTCTGAGGTGGCAAAAACCACGAGGCCTGTGGACGCCAACCTCTTTGAGAATAAAGTGTGAAATGAAGCAGCAAATGGCTGACTGTCTTTGTTGGTTGTACAAAACAATAAGCATCTCTACATTTGTAGTAAAGTCATTAAAACACAGAAGGTACAAAATCCCCTGCATCATGACCACACCCAACAGGTGTCGTGTTCCCAAAGAATACGAAGACTTGAAGAAGTGAAGATATTTTTAAAGTCACGTTCAAAGACACAAGAGGTGAGAATCTAGTCAGTGATGAGCAAACATCAAACTGTATCACAGCTCCTCCTATCAGAGGTCACACTTCAGACTCAACGCTCACACTAACATCACTTCTGTCTTTTTAAAAGACATTTTGTAAAGTGACTCTTGTACAGTCTCATATCAAAACATTTACTCTGCTAAAGGATGCATCATTTTTTAGAGGTAACAAATGACAGAAAAAAACACAGCAGGGGACTTTCCCATCTATTTCCACTGTCATATACATTTCAACCAACTCCTTCATCCCTCACCTAACACAAACTGACCAACTGAATCTCATAAGATGTGTCTATTTCTGTCTTCATGTGTATGAAAATGATGGCTGCACAGCTGTTGATAGGATGAAGTAGCTGATTACACTGTGAAGACTGGGGTTGATGGGGAAGATGGGTGATGCTGTGATCTGAGGCTGATGGGATGAAGTGTCTGACCAAACTGTGAAGACTTGGTGGTGATGTGGAGGTGGAAAAACACACGTCACAATGACATGAATGATCTGGTGGAAGAGAGAAAGCCACATTTTTAAAAAGACAGCAGCAATATGATAGACTAACCACTAGGGAGTGGAGCATAGCCACAGAGATTCATATTGCATTGAGGCGTCTTGTAAAGGAGAGTTGAACAGCCCTACTCATAACAAATAAGAACCTGGTGTTGACCACAATAAAATCATTCTAGGTGCAGTAACTGGTTTCAGATAACACAAATAAGACCATTTCACACATGCACTGTACTCTGAAAATGTCCTGACATTGTCGCAGGAGGCGAGCATGTGTGAAGTTTTTCCCTCTGACTTCAACATGACTTTGTCCTGCCAGTCCCTGAGTTGTAAATTCCACATTAGTTCAGGTTGAGTTGATGTGTGAATGCAGCAGGTAATAGTCTGGATTCTTCCCTGAAAGTGAGCGGGCACGTTGATGACATTGTCAGTGTGAGCAGAGTTTCTCCTGCTGTAGACTTCACTGCTCGCCTCAGTTGTCAGTCTGTTGTTTTCTTTTATTGTGTTTGTATTGTATAAACATCTTTATACATGTTGCAGGAACATATCACCAAAACTGTTCATATTACTGAAGACTCCTCCTCCTCTTATCTTACCTAAACCATACAGAGTATGTAAGATAGTGAGAGACGCTCCAACATAGATCATTCCCCACTCTGTCCAACACTCTCAGATATTAGTGCAGGAATCTAAGACCTGGTCCACACGTAGGCAGGTATTGTTTTAAATGGAGGGTTTCCTCACATCCACATTACGCTAAGTTCTCAATAACATCTTCATACACATGAAAATGCAAAAACTCACTGTTCTGGCTGTCATGAGCATGCAATCTTCTCGCCGGTCCTCTGCAATGACCACCAATAACCTTAAGTCCAACCGGCTCTCTTCCAAATCCATCGACTTTGGCGGCTGTATGAGTGTTGTATGAATCAGCAGTGACCTCCGTTGTCCATTCAGATGTCTCTGCTCGTTAACATAAATAATATCATCAGTAAACTGAAAAAAATATTATAAAGTGTTCAGAAAGTTGATGTGTGCTGATAACAACATTTCAACTTCTCAATATTAAAGACATACTTATGACAATGTTTTCCTGATAAGTACATTTAATTTAAAGTTAAACACCTTTCTCTATCTGTGCACAGAGTGTTGTATGTTTGTACTTCGGTGTGAAGACGTATTTGAAATAGCGTTTTTGAAACATGTTAAAGGGCGGAGCTCTGAACAACTCAATGTCTGTGTCTTGACTTACTTTACTTGCAGCATGTTTGACATCACATACAGGAACAGGATAAGTGACATCAAACACCCCTCCTCTTTGCCCTATGGTTCTCTTTTCTGCTGCTCTCTTCAAAATTACGGACACTTCAAAGCCACAGTCATACGCACAGCGATGAACCAAGCGCTAATAAAAGCTTTCCTTCTCTGCAGCCTCAGTAAGTGTTTCATCATTTGTGACTTCATTGATATGTTTAATATTGTTTGATTCATCTGCATTAAATGCATCTTATCCACTTATCTCATATTTGTTAACTCTTGTGAAGAGAAGTGTTTTACCTTCAGGTTCTGACTCTTAATATCTCGGTCACTCATCTGTTTGTTCCAGGTTGGATCTCTGTCTCAGGTTCTGAGTCTCAGACTGTGGAGGTCCAGTCTGGTGAAGATGTCACACTGATGTGCTCCTGCATGGACGAACAGGTTTCAGTCAGATATTGGCTGAAACTAGTTGTTGCACACTTGTACACAAAGAACCAAGCGTGCATGGGTTTTATGACTATTCTTTTACTTCGGCCTGAAACACAGAGACACAAACACATCAACTCAGCGTGGCTGCACACTCTCGGACATCTGGGTCGACTGAGCTATGCATGGCATCAAAGACCCCTGTGCTGCCCAGAGCTGCCCCAAAAGTGCCTGTGTGATACTTCTTCAATTTGACCCACAAATATACCAACTAAAATATCACAGTGCCTTTGTACAGGAACATCTAACAGTATGATTGAACGACATAATAAAATAAAATATCAAAAACCATATATATGAGACTAGGGGGGTGCCTAGTGTCCATGAACATGCCTGATATTAATACGGGCCCCACACTCTCCCCTCCAAAATAAATGTTGTCTCGATATTAAGAATTTCCCAGAGTCTTTCAGTCTGCAACTTATGAGTTAGAGAGGTAAGTTAAATGGAAGTCAGTCTTTCGTGATACTCTCTGCACAACAACAGTTTATTACATGACATAGATCTCCCTCTTCATGTCATGTGTGAGCAACAGACATCACTGGCCAGGTGACACCTGAAGTTCTACTCCGCCATTTTTGCGGGTTAGTATCTTGGACTGCAAGGTGAAAACCCTGTTACTACCAATAACCCATTTTATACAGACCCACATACACAACTGTATGTCTCACACAAATCTCAGTGTCTTTAAATGTGTTAGCAGCCTACTTTCTGGTACTAAACTTAATATATCAAGTGCATTTACATCCTATGCTACATGAATTTACATTTTAACACGAACCTTAAGTGCTTCCATGAACGTATTTACTTTTTTTTCTGTCACTACCATGAACATGTGACTCTAAACTTGTCTTTCACTTCCTCTCGTAAAAATTACTGATTTCTATGTGTAACTGATGGTTGACCTAATGTGTTGTATGTCAGTGTTTTAGGTGGGTTTCTTTGTCGCAAAGGATATTTTCTTGTAGAAGCTGGCTGCGTCTCAGGTTCTCTCTCGTCTGCTTTATCAGATTTGACCAGTCTATGGATTTGACCCACAAATGTACCAACTAAAATATCATGGTGCCTTTGTACAGGAATATCTAACAGATTGATTGAACAAGATAATAAAATAACATATCAAAAACCATATATATGAGACTAGGGGGGGTGCCTAGTGTCCATGAACATGCCTGATATTAATACGGGCCCCACATAGTCAAAGGAACCGACATCCAATGTGTCTCTACTATGACCAGTTATAACAGCACAGTGACATATCGTGATGGATTCAGTAATCATACATTCACTATGTTGTCCAACAACTCTACTATCTTTCTCAAAGTCCATTCAGTGGAATTAAACGACTCTGGAATTTATTACTGTGGATTTAACAAAGATGGACGTCCATTTCTTACTAAGATACATCTAAAGATCAATGGTAAGATTATTATAAAGTTTTTTTCTTCTCTCTGTTCCCATTATCACATTGTTCATTTTCTGCTTATGTTTTTAAAAAAGTAGTAAATTATCTTGAAACATCTTCTATCATCAAATTGTCTTTTATATTTTGATGTAAATCAGTTAAGATGAAATCCTTCTCTAATAGGCAGCAGTGACGCTCATAACAGCATGAACAGGCAACTCTACAAGTATGATTTTGATTATTATTTCTATAATTCACAGACTTCTTATATCTTTGAATAGCTTAGAAGCTTAAATAATTCAGTTTGATCTTGTCAGGTTTTAAAGTCTCCAAAAGGAAAATGTATTCTGACACAATGATCTTTCTTTGTTGAAGAGTGTGATGGAGCAGCGACTCTGGTGAGTGTCGTCCTGCGTGGTTTGACTCTTTTGCTTGTGATGGTCGTCATCGGTCTGCTTGTTAAAGACAGGACATTTCAGACACAGTATTTATATATATATTTATTTTCACAATAGAAAATTCATTCAAGTTCCTTCAATGGTCTTTAAAATGACTCAAACATAATGTTGAATGAACTTACCAGATGTTATATTTTGTCTCTCAGCTGCTGAAGAAAGACAGAATCCAGGACACCGTGAGGTGAATCACGTTTGAATGTTTACTTTTATAGTTTATGAATAAGTCTAGTGAAGAATACTGATGTTAATCATTAATATAGTTTAATGTGTTTCAAAAATATTAGTGTGTTGATAGACTTACATACTTCTTGTTC